CCCCTGCCCAGCTGGTCCCCAGCTCCTCAGCGGGATGTGGACAGGTCTGCCCAGCTCTGTGTGTTCACCCAACAGCAGGAGCAGGGTTATTGGGGCATGAGGCAGCTGCATGCCCCATTGGCTTTCACTGTGACTGGCACATGAAACAGCCACTGGGGAAACTTTTTTCCTCTATTTTTGGTCTGGGCACTTTTCTAAATATATTCGGGGCTGCAGGGGCTGGTGCTGGGGGAGCGCGAGCCCTTGGACACTGATCAATGCCACCCAGGGGTCGTTGGTCCTGCATGCTAGCTGCCAAGGCACTGCAGCCATGGCCCCAGCTCAGCCCAGGCACTGCAGCCCTCACAGCCCCTAGTGCTACCCACCAAGGCTTGGGTGCAGGCGTGGGCACCCCACACTGGCACCCCAGCTCCCGGCATGTCCCGGCCAGAGCAGAAAGGAGGGAGGCAGCACCTGAGAATGGAGATTTAATGGCCCAAGATGCCCTCCTGGCCATCTAGGAGAGCCAGACTGGCCCCTGAGAGGGATGCTATCCTTGGGACAGGGACAGCAACAGGACCGTGGGGCAGGGGCCCCTGCAGTGCTGGCCCTAGCAGGCAGAGCAGCGGTCACCCTTCTCCTGCAGCCCAGAATTGCGGCGCAGCATGTCCTTGAGGGAACCGTCCTGCTCTGTCAGCAGCTGGTTGATCTCATTCTGCTTGTACTCTGAAGAATGCTTGTGCCCATAGAAGGAGCCCTTCCCTGACGAGGGGTTGGAGTTGTGCCGGCCTCGGCGGGCGCAGGCTCGCACCACCAGGTAGATCAGCTCTGCCATGTTGAGGACGATGCAGACGCTGGAAGTGACCAGCATGAAGACAGTGAAGATGGTCTTCTCAGTGGGCCGGGAAATGAAGCAGTCGACGGTGTTGGGGCAGGGGTAGGCCTCACACTTGACCAGCCGCATCATCTGGTAGCCCGGGTAGAGCATGTAGAAGATGTACATGAACACGGCCTCGAAGAGCAGCCTGAAGACCACACTGCAGACATACGTCCACCACAGCGAACCCGATATGCGCATCTTGTGCCTCTTCACCTCCTCCATGTGCTTGGCATCCGCATGCCCTGTGAGCATCAGTAGCTTCTTCTCCTGGTGTTGCTGGTAGGCCACGTGCATGGCCACAAGAAGGGCTGGTGTGGTGACGAGGATGAGCTGCAGAGCCCACAGACGGATGTGGGAGATGGGGAAGAAGTGGTCATAGCAGACGCTGTTGCAGCCAGGCTGCTGGGTGTTGCAGGTGAAGGCAGATTTCTCATCTCCCCAGACACTCTCGGCTGCCACCACCAACACCATTATCCGGAAGATGAAGATGACAGAGAGCCAGATGCGCCCGATGGCAGTGGAGTGGCGGTTCACCCCACTCAGCACTGTGTAGAGGCCAGCCCAGTTCATCGTTTCTCACGGCTGCAGGACAGAGGGGTGAGAGATGGTGTCAGGAGCAGGAAGGTTCTGTGGCTGAGAGCCACCATGTCCTGGCTCTGGTCACAGCCCTTGCAGGTGGACAGCAGGGTGGACGGACAGCAGAATG